CCTGTTCAGCTACAAGAATATCCCGTCTGTGCATACCTGTCCACTATAAGTTCTGTATCTGTGGGTTTAGCAGAATTCAGTTTTTATTTATTTTTTTTATAATTTTGCTGTGTAATATCAATGTTTATTTTTAAGCTTTTTGGATTTTTATTTATTTCAATTTTCACAGTTGCACAAAATTATGGGTTTAGCTCCCCCCCCCATTTACATTTTCACAGTTGTGGGAAATTTTTTGGTGGGTCAGACAATAGGGAGAGTTAGACAATAGTTAGTTAATCTCAGGAGATGTTGAGATTAAAAAAAGTCATGCTTTTTAACTGTTAAAACACCAACTTTCAACATCATGTGTTAAAATGTATAAATATCCTTAAACCAAATGTTAAGTTCTCAAAGTTTTTCTTACTTTGCTTACCTGTGAATTTTGATTATCAGTGGGAATATTTATTCATCAGTTTGTATGTGTATAGAGGAATAGGCATTTACCTATAAAATTGTAATTCTTCCAAGCCTACGTATAGGAGGTGGACATTAAGGGTAACGAACTGGATGCACCACTGTGATAATCTCAGCTCTTGGGGTTAATGATAGTAATCAGTAAGGGCATTTTCCTCTGAAATGAATCAACCATGATGGTGGCCTGACTAGCATCTATCCAAAGCTTTGTTAAAGTGAACATGAACTATGGTTCCTTGATATATTTGAAAATAGGGAATATGTACAATACAATGCATAAAATAAACCCCATTCTGAAGTACACATCGATCAGCGTGCATGCACTCAAACAACTCCATGGTAGACTAAATTTCACATAAACCACAGAGTTATGTTATGAATATTTTGTTTCAGAAGTAGTAGAGTTTTGATGCAAGTACAACATGAAAATGTAGTTTCTGATGACAAATTTAAAATAAAATCATGTATAAAATACGCATTAAATATGCAAGTCTGTTGCAGTTTTTAAAAGGCTCTGTCCCCTTGCCATAGTTCCTTTTTCAAGTACTAAGAAAACTCTAAGGACTTAAATATTTCACTGATAAATTTAAGGGATTAGCTGTGTGTGTTTTCTGTTCTAGGAATGTGACTTTAAATTATGTATGGTTTCTATTTTTAAAATATTGCTGAGAATTATCTCTGCCATTCAGTGCCTACAAAGTATTTAAAAAAAACAAAAATAAAATAAAAATAAAAACAAACAAACCAACAAAAACCTTCCTGTGACAGCACACAGATTGGTTCTTTTCTGACCTTTCTTTCTCTGTGGGAAGAAAAGCATTAAGTCACTCATGCAAAGGTCATTTATGGTAGCTGTATGCTTTTATGAGCCTTTATCATTTCACTGACAAGGGCAACTTGATATTGATCAGCTAGATATTTCCTTTAGCCACCAGGAGGCCAGTTACTTGAAGAAACCTGTGTAGACACCCAGACATTATTGTTTTAAATCACACTTAACACAGTATTGTTGTTGTTGTTTTTCCAGTGCAAGGCGGGAAATAAGATACAGACTACAAGTGACAGGATTTAGATTCAAATGATCTTAACACATCAACATTGAATGTATTTGACTCAATCTCTAACACTAAGATAGTTTGAAGACTTGTTTGGTTGGGGTTTTTTTTTCCATGTTTTCTTGTATCATAAAAATGTTATATGCTGAAAATTGTTATCAAATCTTTTGACAGTTCTTACAAATAACAATTTATCACCTGCCTTCAAATAAGATTAGGTAGTTTGGTTTTCAGAACACCTAAACAAAAATTGAGGAAACACAAACTTATCCCATGCATTGGGGTTTTTTTAGAGGGAGCTGAAATCCTCTAAGAAAAGACTTTGTCCAGTTTTCTATGTGAAGTTTTAATGCCAGTGTAACTCTATTGGAGTCAATGGAACGACTCCAGCAAAAAAATGGTGTAATGGAGCAAAGAATCAGGCACACTGAGTTTCCTGGTCCTCATTCCTTTTGGGAATGGGTAGGCAATGCAGGACTTTTCCTGAGACCTGGTGTCTCTGCAATGCATTCCTGTTGGTTAGCCTTCTGCCTGAAGAACCATGATGCTATTGTGGATTCTCCCCTGATCCTGTGCGGCATGGAATGAAATCCACAGGTGTTTGAGGCCTAGGACAATGGGACTTAGAGGGGAATATCATGTGAAAAGAGATCCCACCTCCCACTCCTAGACCTTCATAGGAATGAAGAGGTGTCCATGTGTACCCATAGCAGAAAAGCCTACTGGAGTCCCAGGAAGGGAATGGAGTTGTGCTGTCCCTCAAACCAGTTTTGACATTTTTTCCTCCCCTCTATTTAAAGAACAGAAGGGGGCAGTATAGCTGCCACCTTCTAGAGAATGCTTCATAGAGTTTTAACCTGTCTTTACATGTCCTTTCTGTATTTAAATGGGGAAAAAATCCATGTCATTGCACAGATGGAAAATCATGTGTATGCAGGACAGTGAAGCAGAAATCATGAAAGAATAGTGAATATAAAAACAATAGTACTGTATATGAAGCAAAATATTTTGCAGAGTTAAAACTAAATATTGAAGCCTTACATTTTCCAATATTGCACCAGTTAAAGCTGTTAAATGCATATCCTTGCAGCACTCAGTTTTCATAATCAGTGGAGAGTTTTTATTTTAAAAAAGTAAGATACATCATTGTTATATATATTTGTAAAATAGAGGAGAGAAACACATTTCAGAAGTGACTCAGAGCAGTAGGTGTTCAAAACCTTGAATTTTACAGTATTGTATATAATCCCAAGTTTTTCAGTTGCTCACAAAAGATTTGTGAAACCAGAATTCACCTTGTGCAGACCTCCTGCAAAATGGATCAGCCACAAGGCTCTTTTTCCATAGGAACCTTTGTACATTTTTAAAAGGTTCAAGGTGCAGAGGGGTAGTACTGGCTTTTGTAAGTCTCTTTGTGATTCAGCCTTATGTGCAATAGGTGAACATAGAAATGTAAGGGTTTTTTTTACAGTTATATGGCCAAAAAAACAAAACAAAACACCCCACATTAAATTAGGTGCATGGTTGGTTTTACAGCTTAATTGATCTAAATGTAAGATTTATATATACTAGTGTACTTCATGGCTTCTGTAGGCAGAGCACACTGCACATACTGGGGTACCTTGCATTCCCTCATCACCGCTTATAAACTCCCTTTGCCACTCTCCCATTCCCTTCTATTTCAAGGACATCCTGCAACCCTCACTCATTTATGCTGGGTGCTCTGTGTGTCCCCCTATTCTCCCCATCCCTGCATGCCAGGGCTCTGTCCCCCATATTGACACCTCCACGACATGCTACAGGCTGTCTCTCCCCCTACCCATACTGTTGTCCCACATTCTCTCCCCATGTGTGTGCTCCCATTCGTCTTTCCATGCACCACTTCTCCTAAGCCCCATATACCCTCCCTCCTTTGACTAGGGCTCTATATGTGCCCACTTTCACGCATGCCAGCAGTCTGTGTTGTCTCTTATTTACCCTGGCCTTCTCCTTCACTCCCCAATGCCAGGGGCTCTGTGTGCATCCCTGTCCCCTTTTCCCCCACCACTCATATATATTTTTTTCTTTTTCTTTCCTTTCTCTTTCAGGATCAACATTTTTTATTGTATTGAGAGTATGGCAATTTGATCTGTAGACAATTAAAAGGACAGTCGAAGCTGCTGATATTGGTAGCCAGATGCCGGGGCTCCATGTGTTCCCCATTTTCACCTTTCATTTTATTTCTGATTTTCATTGGAATTGATAGCTTTCTGGCCATTGATGGCTAGAAAATTCCCTGAAATTTTGGAGTTGATTGATTGAAACATTACATTATTGGGTTACAGACACCCAGGGAAATCCCATCAAGTTGAGTGTTAGAGTTGCTTTGTTCAGCCAATGAGATAAAATTAACAAGAAGCTTTAAACTTCTGTTGGGAGAAGTTTTTGTCCAACAGAAGTACTTCTCCCATAACATCTTGGTTTTAGAGTTTTATTTTTTGTCTATTAGTCTAACGTGCTTTTGTTCATTGCACTGCGTTTTTTCTAAATGAACATTGTGTATTAACTAGTCTCACATTGGCAAATCCTTTTTTGTTGCACGACTGTCTCTAAATGAACAAATTATTGGTCTTTGGTCTGATCTTGGAACTAATTGTTGCTGTGGTATGAACGCAGTGGTAAAGGATGTTCCACAATTCCCATTATTTCACCATATAATTTCTATTAACATTAATAGGTAAAAACATTCATGAAAACGAGACTATAGGCCAAATTCACCAGTTAGGCAGGTGAAACTTCATTGCCATTAATGGCATTGGAAATGCTTGAGCTAACAGTGAATGTTGCCTACCTCTCTAAAGGTTTCATTGCAGTACTTTCTGTATGGACTCGCGTTGCTTTGAACTAGAGATTTTTTTTTGAAAATTTGCATTATTTAAAAGGAATTTCATTTTTCTGAATTATGATACAGTATTCTGAGACTGTCATAATAATTATAATAATAATTTAATTTTAAACATGCCTGATTGTTTTATAGTGTGTCAAATGTCTTATTAGTTGACTGGGCATTTTAATTTTATACAACCAAATACTGCCAGAGGAGTAGAACTCTTTTTGATTTCTTGACCTTAATGTTACAAAAAAAATTAAAAAATGTAATATCTGAGGGACACACAGATTTTGAGAGAAATATATTCAATTATTATATTCAATAATTTCAAATAACATACTGGAAATTCAGATTTTCTTCCCAAATGGTATTATAATGTACTCTGTGCATGAAGTACAAGACAACATTAGCACTCTGACTTACTATATATCATTTGGTTTAGGTTTTTTTAAAGCTATTTTGATCGTGTTTCTTGAAAATCTGTGGGCCAGATTCTTATCTCAATCACATTTATGTAAATCTAGATAAATTTCATTGATTTTCTTTTGGTCTGAGAGTAACATCTGGCCCTGAATAGCTAATATTTATGTGTAATATCTGAGATGGAATTTTGTCTTTTTCAGGACCATTTCTTTAGGGAGTTCCTATTCCTTATTTTCATGACTCTGAGCATACTTAATCAGAAATGGAGCAGATGGACTGCAAACCCTACCAGCCACTGTCAAAAGTTAAGCATGAAATGGATCTAGCTTATACAAGTTCTTCAGATGAAAGTGAAGATGGGAGAAAACCAAGACAATCCTATGACTCCAGAGAAACTCTAAATGAATATAGCCAAGAACGAAGACTGAACTATAACAGCCATAGCAGAAAAAGAAAAGCTGATGACAAATCCACTCAAGGTACATAATTGATTTTCATTTTCACTAATTATGAAAAGTATCTTACAAGGGCATTTGTATATCAGCATGTAAACATATAATTATATTACTTTCAAAGGCAGACAGTGATTGCCATTTAAAAGTCACCATTTGGCACCTGTTACCACACTACAGTATCTGAGTTCCTGCAGTTATTTCCTAACTATTTTTCAGCTATCACCTTCCAGAAATACAGAATTACTATGCTGTGTCTCAGACCACAACATGGCAACTGTTGGTAAATGCTGTTGTTAGGTGGTGGCTACTCTTCTTACTAAAACTAACTGGGTAATAGTTTAAAATTCTTACATATATGTATGGATTTGCTCCAGGTACCAAATTAGCTTTGAGGTTGTAGGTTATCTGTCCTTGTGCTTGTAAAGCTTATTGGTAAATTCAAATGCAACAATCCTCTTAAACAAAATTTGTGTAATCCTACAAGTAGCCAAGTCATTTACAAACGGAAGGAGAAATAATTTGTTGCAAGGACAAAAGCAAACAATTTACTGTTGTCTTTCTTTCTTTTTATTTTTTTAAGCATAGATGTAATTCAGGGGAGAACTTGTTCCTATCCTAGAAATCTTTTCAGCACATATACCCAAATGGTGCATACAGCTACAAAGCAGCAGTGTTGGGGGAAATATAAGGCTATAATTTATTATATATTTGAATACAGTACCTATTCAAATTATTCTGGCCAAGATTTCAGCCATGTATATTTGACCTGCCAAGAATTACCTTGTCCTGCAAGAATTAAGTGAGTTTGCTTAACTAAGAAATTATTCCATTTGTTATGCTTTGAGTTTATCCTCCCTATGTTGCATTGGTTTATTCTTTAGAGAACTGTATCTTATAAGAAAATTCCACCAATAATCTTGTAGGATTAACTCCTTGTGATTTCCTTGCTAGAAACGGTAAAGCTTGTATGCATTTCTGCAGCAAGTCACCATACAGCAGTTTGTCCTGCTCACACATGTTCAGATTGGCCTGTTAGGAATCAGATTTATTATTTGCAAAAACTGATGTATTTCTTGAAGACTCATGGAGGCATTATGGCTTATTAAAAATGTGTACTCCATGTTTTTCTTGCCTAGATTAATGTTCAGTTCATTTCTTACTAGATATCATAGGAGTCTGTCCTGTTTGCCTTATAAGCAGCTAACTTTTTCTCCTTGAAATTCATAGTCTTGTCCTGCTGCAAATTACCATATGACCCCAAGCACATGCTTTACAATATCACTATTCAGGTTGGCCTGTTAGCACTTGCTTAATTGACATCCTGAATAGAGATGCTTTCCTGAAATGGAGTCTGTCAATATATTATTATTCAGTGCATATTGGTTCCTATGTAATACTTGTTAATACTTCTGGTATACTTGACAATATATGCTAGTATATTGAGTTGTCTGAATGGAGGTAAAATTTTCTTGCCTTACTGGAAATCATATAATAAAGTTTTCTCTTGTGAGAAATGTAATGCAACATAATTGTCCTAGTCAGTAATTGTATAGGTTTGTTCTGCCAAGAATTACATTGTATATGGGTTTTCAATGCCAGGAATTCATCCCCATATCTTTGTGCTGGCGTAAATCGTATTGATCTGCCATAAATTCAGCCCATATGTTTGACATGCCAGCTGTCATACAGATTTGAAATATGTAAGTGGTTGGGCAAAGAATTTGTTCAAACAAACAAAAGTTAGGCTGAGGAGGCAGAGTTCTCATCTGGCTCCAGAGTTGGGTTAGATAAACTTCTGTTTGTTGATTGAAATCTAACAAGCTTTCAAAAGGCCATATCTTTAATGGTAGAAATGCTGTGAGATCTAGTGGTGGTAGGGATTTCTGCTTTCTTTGCTTGCATTCCAACAAGAACAGAAAAAAAACAGGCCCTTTTTGAGTTATGAGTCTGACCTACTCCAAAGTCATAAGGGTGTATTTGGAATTTGGATTCCCATAAACCCTTCCAATATTTTGCTGACATTCTGTATTAGGCATATCTTTAATTTTGCATCCTTTATTTGTGAAATGTAATTTTTTTTGTTATCACTGACAAAAGAGGATTATGAATGTTGTCAGCTTGTATTAGTGGAAACCTGGGAAAAGAATAATAATATTCTGCACTGATATATAGCACTATTTTCTGAGGATCTCAATGTACTTTACCAAGGTGGATAAGTATTATCATCTCTATTTTATAAATAAGGAAACTGAGGCATGGAGACTAAGTAATATATTCATGGTCACAGAGTGAGTTAATGGCAGAGTCAGAAGCAAAGCTCTTGTCTCTTGCCTTTGTCTCCTGCTCCAACCATTAGACAGCACTGAAGCAAAATGCAATCCTGAAAAAGTGATGATTAGTGGATGTCAAAGTGGAGGTAAATTCAGAAGGACTGTGAACTCCACCAACATAATGTGTGGTAATAGATAAGGAAACAGACACATTGCAACAGTCATGAATAAAGTGATAATGATCCAAGGTGAGATAGCAAACAAACCTGTGAGTTCTGGTGAGGGAATGTAAGAAAAGCAAAGTCACTGAGAATATATGATGAATAATGAAAACATGACTCTCTATCTAAAACCAAAACCCTTTATGCCAGGTTGCCAGCATTTTTTGGCAAGTAATTTATTACTGGCAGTTTGACCACTTCATTGTGGCTACTAGTGTCAAGAGTTCATTGGTAGTGAAAGTCCTTTGTTCTATTCATGGGATCTTTATTGAAACAGGTGTTCTTTCACAGAATAGATACTATACATAAATATGGCACTAATCCAATAACTGTATGAAACCTCTGTGGTTTGTGTGCTATGAACCCAATGCCCACATTTTGTCAGTGGTATTTGTTTTGCTTCAAATATATCTTATTTTATACAATTTTATTAGTATTAATATTTGTAACAAACATCCGTTGTAAAGCCATGTGTTTATAGAAATTATTAAATTTGTTTCCACAGTTTTTTCTTGATGAACACAATGTTGGAACACAAAATACATCACAAACTTTCAGGGTGCTCCCTGTGCCTGGAACTCTTTTCATGACTCTGTCTGTCCCTTCCTTAAAATCTCTTCTCAAAACCCACTTCTTTAAGGAGGATTGGTTTATTAGTTGTTTTCTACAAGGTTTACTTAGAGGATGCTCAAAAAAATCAACAGTGAATACAGAATAGTCCATCGGGAGACAATTATGTAACTTAAGAGGCCATGTGACTGTTGCTGAACATCATATGCTGTGTCTTACGGAGTTTTAGATGTAAGATAAATTGTAGCTCTCGAGTGTTTTTCAGTGGAATCTCAGTTATCTGACAGTCCAAGATTTGGCAAATAAGATCACACAAAGACTGGCAAGTATGGATATAAGAATTGGCTAAACGTATCAGTTTTGATACACTGTGGACAGATGAAAAAATCTTTCCAATAAAAGTATTTTCCATTCCTGAAGATTCACGTATAACTTCACAATGTGTACATTTTATCAAGAAAGATTATTTTAGAGTAATTGGAATGTTCACATTGCTTTGTTTATCTAAATGTCTATAAACCAACAATGTATTATCCTGTCCAGAAAGACACATGAAGTACATTTCAGGCAGACCCAGTCTAATGTGGTTCATGGTTTTTGGAAAACATAGGAAATTAACCCTTTGCAGGACTGGCCAATAGATTGTTGATAGTTTAAAGACATGGGGCAGAATTGGCTGGACACTCTAGATGTACTGATGATTCCTGGTAGGATACATCTTGATGATTCTGGCATGGAAAATTTTTTCCTTGAAGGATGTATAGACTATCAATCTTATTCTCGTTTCACTTGTAACACTTTTACGGCAGCAAAACACCATTTTCTTCAAGGAGTTATTCTTTATTTACACGAATGTAAATAAGAGAAAACTCTAGTCCTACAATTTTTGGAGATGTAAAGAAAGAAGCTGTATTCCTTTTAGACTGATGTATACTATTATGGAAAATACCAGTTTAGAGGAATGAATTCCAGACAGGACAAGCATCTGGGATTGAGTCACTGGAATGATGAATGTTATTGATTCTTAACAGGATGAACATATGGGGATAAATTTCTAGTTAGCCAAACTTTTATATATATTTCCTGGCAAGATAAGTATATTGAGCTTCATTATGGGCCAGGCAAACCGATATTATGCCCTGGTGCAGGAAGAAAAAGCAGCATATATTTACCGGTAAATTTGTGTGAAAAAATTAGCATAGATAGCGATACTAGAAAACAAAGGTTTTAGAATGCTTCACAAAATATTTGGCATTTTCTATTCCTAACCAGAGGGTCACATTACTTTTTATCCTACAAATAAGAAATCTTGAGTATGAGATCACTAGCAGGGCGAATAAAATGAAGAAACTTGTATAAATTCCCTCTTGAACAACTGAACTGGGCAAAATGTGTGTAATAAATTCTTATTCAAGCAAAATCCCCATTGCCCTCAGGAAGAATTGCCAGAGTAAGGACTTCAGAATTTGGCCTTCTAGTTTCCAGACCACTTTTATTCTAAGCCCTAATTTTTGCCTGTTTCTGATTCTTTGTCGGATTCTCACTATAGCAGTTTTATGACTGACATACTGTGTATGCATTTAGAAGTGTTCTAATTCTACAAAGCAATAGAGTTTAGAGAGGAAACCTAGATCTGGAGAATGCAGTTTCAGATACGCTTTTAGTTCAAATTCATACATACCAAGAAGGAAGATTTAAACATATGGAACTTGGATTTCATGTCACCAGTCAGAAATAGTTGTACTTACTTGCTGACAAGTCTTGTCAAGAAATTGTCATATCAGGAAAATGTCACTGTGCCTTTTTGTCAACTGTAAACTGGAACTAGCTTGACTCACACAATGGACCAAATTCTGATCTCATACTGGTATAAATTGACAGTGAGTTCATTAAGGTCAGTAGATTTGCTCCGTATTTTACTGGTGAGCATAGCATTTGGCCCATGTATAGTACGCACTGTTTG